GAGGCTGCCATCAACTACGCGTACACGGGCAGCATCGCAATTTCTGCAGAAAATGTATTACGAAACTACCTGCTAGCACACAACCTCGGCTCCGCCACCATTGTTGAATGGTGCGCGGATTTTCTAAGAACCAGGTAGGGGAAGCTTTTCTGAGAGTTACAACTGACTGTCTGAAGGACTTCTCTAGACAATGTGGCAGAGGTGTGGTCAGCTGCCAATGCGACGTTAAATCGTGAATTGGTGGAATTGTGCATTCCACTGATTGAGAGGCATTTTGAAACTCTGTGTTTGCAAGGTGAGATGCTGATGCAAACAACAGTGGAGAACTTTGAGGTCCTGCTGGAGAGGATTCGGCAAGGAGGTATGAGTGAGGAAACTAAGTTTCGGGCGATTTCTACATGGCTGGATGCAGGACGCATGGAGTATGATGTGAAGGAAAGGGCAGAGGCATTTACAAAGATAATTTCCAGGATTGACTTGACCAGGCTATCTACACCGAGTCAAACTGAGTATTGGGAAATTGTAAGAAAACATTTTGAATGGATCAAGCCGATGCCTCATCCTTCCTCCAACTGTCCATCACGTTGCAGGTGCTTACATCATTTTTGCTAACAGCATGACCACTCTTGCAAACTCCGAGTAACCAATTCGATAAGTTCGCCGATTTTTACGATCTAACACTGCAGAGTTGCCTTTATCATAGCAACCGTAATGACGCTTCGTACGCCCTCACTGTGCTGATTCTTTGGCAATATCTAGGGAGGTGCTTATGATCGTTGGAAAGGATACAGCTTCGGGGTCATTCGTTTTGAAGTCTGTGCCGCAGTTACAACCGGACGAATCGTTTAATGTTAAAGTTCCAAGCCATGATACATTGACCGTACTGAATGGTAAATTGAACAGGTGGTTTTATTTCTCTACCTTCTAGGGACATTTTTTGACTTTGATCTTTGGGATGTTGAAAGTCGTTTTTGGTCCGTGAATTACCGAAATGGCTGCGTTTCCAAAATTCCTTTCAGAGGGGCGAAACGCACGTCGTATTCTGTCGCGGCGAGAAATGAATCAATCTTCATTTTTGGTGGCTGCAAAGGAGATGACGTTGTTCCTACTTGCGAAAAAGTGGACACCGCCACCGGCGAGTATGTTTGATAAAGCTAGGTCACCCATTTTAGGTTCACTCGACTCCCAGATATGTCATTAGCGCGTTCTCGTACTTCGGCCTTAAATATTCCAGACATCGGAATCGTAGTTGTTGGTGGATGGACTGCAAATCGTTTAAATTTTGCTGAAATATTGGTAGAAGATCCTTCGCATAAGAGTGGATGGAGATGGATGAGGCTCAGCCCGATGTTAGAGGGACGAGAAGAGCCTGGAATCGCCTCATCAATGGATGCTTGGTGGTTGCTGGAGGGCAATACAGGAATGTGGAGATCACTGTTGAATGCCTCACCCTGACATCAGTTGAACAACCCACAGCTCAGTGGACTCGCCTTCATGGAGTTGATAAGTTGTGCACGCATTTCACCTCGCTTGTCGCATTCAGCAACAGATTGATAATGTTAAGTATGTTTTTCCCTCCAGCATTTTAGAAGGGTAAAACACTCAGTGTGCTGACTTAATTTATTCAATTGCATTTGTAGCATCCGATGGACCCGAAGGCGTTGTGTATGAATTTTCGCCCACCGAAGGGGTAAATATGGTGTCTTTGAGTAGGAATAAAAAAACTGAAAAATTACGAAAATGTTTTGCACTTTGTAGGACAACTCACTGGCCAATTTTACATGGAAGCCACTGTTTTGGGTGGACAATTTGTCGGAAGCAAGGATTCTGGTGACAATCGAACGGCTGGACGGAAGCTAATGTGCTTGCAATTATAGGATTGATTTCTTTCATTCCTTATTTTTGCCTAATTGCCTCCAGTCTATAAAGTGTCCGCTTGACATACGAGTTTTATTCAAGTAACAAGAAATG